AGAGATCCGTTGGAGAGAACGCCCAGCACAAAGTCGCACGCCTTCAGCCGCTGAGCGCCGTCCTCTGCGCCGTCGTACATGGCGATGAGCTCCTTCACCTCTGCAGAGGCAAAGAGGCGCTGGTATTCATCACGCACGCCCACCACCAACGCTTCGTTGATCTGCCCCTCGCGCTCCTGATTGACAGTGCGTGTCAGAAACGCACACGCACACAACAGGGGAAGTGCCGACCTTGTCAGCGATGAGGGCATTGAGCTGCTGCTCTCCATCTGGGTGAGTGAGGTACTCGTCCAGGCCCTGGAAAGCAAAAAGAGAGTGGCTGAGCAGAGGACCAAGTGCTACAACAGAGTGCCGTGACTACCTGGCCTCTGGTGATGTATAGTGCCTTGGTCGCATGCAGCAGATTGTTGAAAGATTCCAGGCCCCTGCAGGGTCCCTTCATTTGGTTGGTGCCGCCATTTGAATGGGAATGAGCCGCTACAGAGGAAATGTACCGTAGATGGTAGGCGATTTTGGGGTCGAACTGGAAGTCCAACCCATGCTTGCGGAAGGCGTCAGTGAAGCACCGATGCATGGCGCGCTCGGAGTCACGAAACACTCCACCCACGTCAAACACCACAGCCTTCACCCGCCTCGCCATCGTCTTTGCTGCAAATTGACCGCAAGATTGGAAAACGAACCAGCGAGCGCACCCACCTCCTGCTGCTATCACTGTTCTATCTGCTTCGAGCAGCTCCAGCGTAACGATAGGGTCCGTGGCCTAATAGAAAGGCGCTTGACTTCGGATCAAGAGATTCGGGGTTCAAGTCCCCGCGGGCTCATATCTCCTTTTTGCCTGATTTTTGGGCAGCACAATGGTGCTTGTCTCGACGGCGTGCTGAGTGTGCGAGTGGCCCGACGTGTATGTACAAGGGGGTGAGCATGTATTTAGGTGGAAGAGGGGCCTATTATGCGTCCTATGTACTTACTGGCCACCGGGCTGCACACGCTTGTTGCGGGCTGTCCGTCCCTTGGGCACTCTCGCCTCGGCCTCTGTGCCAGCCTCCGTCACTTCCTCTTCGCCCGCCTCCTCGAGCTCGCCGCCGTACAGGGGAATGAGCTTGCTCGCGCTGGGCGGAAGCTTGGGCGGCTTGAACCTCCAGCTGGACGCATTGGTACGCCCTTGTTTGTGCCACAATAAGGAGTCAGCATTCGCCAACAGAACCGACGCCATCACCAGCATCAAATGGGTGGGAGCGTACCGGAAATCATGATCTCTTCGGGCCAGTGCGAGGAGGTGTGGCCATGGCGGAAGGCCTCCTGGCGCTTGCCGATGAGGTCGGGAGTGAGCCGCGACATCGGGGTCATGCACACGTAGGCCACCAGCCGGCGCGGCGGGAGAACCGATCCGTCCTTGGGTAGCGGGTGCGCGGTGGTGGGCGGTGCGTTGCAGTGAATCACCCGGCTGTCCCAGAGGACCATGTCGCCGGCCTGCGCGCACACCTTAACGGGGCTCAGGCCCGCCTGCTTGATCTCGTTCTGCCACGGGCTCTCCTGCAACCAGAGAAAACAAAAGAAGAAGAATGAGTCATACACAATTACTCAACGCCGTCAGTAGTGGGCAACATCATGAGCACTTACCGGACCAAACTTCTCGAGCTTGATGAAGTCACGATAGCTGTTGCCGAGGTGAGGGTGGTTGCGGAAGATGTCATTGAACACCTTGTGCGAGCCGGGCACCACCACCAACCCGCCGTCGGTCTCGCCGGCATCGTAGTAGTTCACGAAGCCCTGTACGCAGACCTTGTCAGGCTTGGTCGTGCCGTTCTGATCCAGGTGGAACCAGCCCGTCTTGGTGAGCCACTTCTCGTTGTACTCGAACGGCCTGAACATGCAGAACCCGTCGTAGCTCGTAGCCAACTGTTCGTCCACACCACTCATCAAGTCAACACAAGAGAACCAACCTATATAACGGCCTGCCTTGCTCGACGTACGTCTGGAGTCTGCCAGATGGTGCTGTAGATGGTCTGCACCGTGGCCAGACCACGGTTGAACCACAGGAAGGCACTATGGCCCACGCCCTCAGACACGATGATGCCCTTGCCGTACGCATCGGGCCAACCTGCTCAGGTTCAACATTAAAATGAACGTCGTGAAACACTAAATGAGTGTGCGTACCCGCGTTCCAGGTACTGGGATCGTTGCGCTTGATGCTAGCGTTGGGCAGGCTCTCCATGAAGTCCCAGGCCAGCTTGCGCCCCTCCTCAAGCTACATCCAAGACAAGTGTTATTGTAAAGGAAAAGAGAAGGGGGGGGGAAACAGTCGCAGTAGAGGGAGGGGAGTGGATACCTGATCAGGGGCGACCACGTCCTTGAAGACGGCGTATCCGTGCTCTTCAAGGAAGGCGTAGCCCGCGGGATCATCAACTGCGAATCTGGGGGGCGCATACGGCGCTACTCGCGGCGCCTGCCCAGGCACTGGTCTGCCTCTGTTCCCTCCTCTACCTCCATTGCCTCTCCGCATCTTCTTCTTGTAATGTGATGTGTTGTGTGTTGTGTTTGTTCCCCCAAAAGCCAGCTCGCGGGCTGCTGCTATTTGAACCCACTGCACGTCGTTCTGAGAAGAAGCCCAGCAAGAAAGGGGATTCAGCGAAGGTACATTTTCTTTTTTTCTTTTTTGCTTCCACCGTTTTTCTGGCGAAACGATCCTCTGACGTTACCCATTGGCTCAAACTTTGAGAAGCGCCCGAGCCCACGTGGCACTTTTCCGAGGAAGCGTTATTTACCCAAGTGCGCAAGCCCCACAACTACTGTGGCCACGCGAACATGGAAAGGCTGAACACCTTGACGAAGTGGGGTTTCTGCCTTCTTGTCATCCAGATTGTACGTCAACTGGATTATAGATGAAGGGCAAATGTTGTGCTGACCTTACCCCCACTTTCAGCTTCCCTCATTGCCTTGGAGCATTTTGTCCGTTCCTGCCTACATACGCCATGGGAATCTCTTCATGGTCCTTGTTGGCTTTCTGGGTGTGTGGTTTCAGGACCTGCGCCTGCTTGTACCGGTAGGTTGTCTCCACCTTTTTCTACAATCAGATGCTTAATGATGCACTACAACTGCTTTCTGGTACCTTGCAGCACTTCATCTACTTGGTCGTGGGCTTTCTCAACTTGGTATCGCTCATGGCCTTTGGCTCTTTCCTTGCCTTCGCCCTCGATCCTGGCCAGCGTAGTGTGCTTCTTGGATTCATTGTCATGGGCATCACTCTGGCTCCAGGCTTCCTCCTCTGGAAGCAACTACTCCTCATCCAGGGCATCCACGGCAAGAGTACCTCTTCACCTCCATTCGGCCTAACGGTGATTGTTGCAGCTTACAAAAAAGGTTTCTCCCCACATAGGGAGACAAGATCGCCCATGAGAACAATGGCCTGGTCAAAGGCGCGGTGTAGGTGAGGTTGTCTGATCACTAGGCAGGAGAGCACCAAGGTGGCGGTCAATAAAGGCGTTTCATTTGTGGTCACGCGTGGGGTGTAAAAGGTTTGGAGGCGAGGGCACTTGGTCACTTGGCCGCTCCATCCATCGTCACGGCGATGATCATCGCCGTGTTGATCCCAGCCCTGGAGGACACCAATCGGGCAGGTTGTAGCGGAGGTATTAGGTTGTTTTTTTTTCTTTTTCAATTTCCGTTCGCCTCTGAACTGAATTTGCTCAGCTGGGCGACGGAAACGGGAGAAGATGGACTTCACCGCTGTGCTGCCATTCGAGCTCTCCATATGCATCTTTGAGTACGAGTCTCTCATCATTTCTTTTCCTCCTTTGCGCCAGCGAAAGTAGTCTCGTATTTATTGTTATGATTAATGAATTATTAATAATAACAATATGGGGGTAGGCACTTGACGGAAGTGGACCTGGAGAGTGCCGGGCTCGTCAGTCGCGAGTGGCGGCGAGCAGCCACCGAGCCGTCGCTGTGGCGCGGCATTTTCTGCCGCGTGGCCCGTGTCGACCGCCCGTCGCGCACCGACCACGCCGACTGGCGCCGCGACGCCCTCCTCCAGCCCGTACGCCCTCCCCCACCCACCTCCAACTGCTGCCGTTGCCGGCTGGCCGGCCGAGCGTTGCATGTGCTGACGTCACCGGTTGCTATGCGGGTCCAGGCGTTGTTCGCGCGGCTCAAGGAGAAGGTCATGGCCAAGGACATCCACTCCTTCTCCTCGCTCATCAAGCACGGCGCACTCGAGGTATGGCCGCCGCACACCACCACCACACCATCATCATCACCTTCACTTCATTCATCATCAACTCCACTCAACTCACGCGTGCGTGCGCACACGCACACGCACGCGAGCTAGGTCAATGCGCGGGACGCGGACGGATGCACGCTGGCGCACCACGTCATCTTGTGCAGTACGCAGCAGGCCGATTCACACTCGGGGAGCGTCATCACCCGACAAGCCATGGTACGCGGGACAGGGACACGGACCCCTACCTCAGCCAGCGGCGCCCACTAACTTGAAGTCGGGACAACGTCGCGCGTGTGCGGTGGTGCGGTGCGTGTGCGGTGGTGCGTGTGCGGTGGTGCGGTGGTGCGTGTGCGGTGGTGCGGTGGTGCGTGTGCGTGTGCGGTGGTGCGTGTGCGGTGGTGCGTGTGCGGCGGTGCGTGCTTGTGTTATGACAGCTGAACCTGTTGATCGAGCACAACGCTGATCTGAGCATTCGGGCCAACGATGGGCAGACGGTAATTTCACGCCCCACGACACCCGCCCACTTCTTGCTTCTTGTGTGTGCTAACCTCGCGACTCCAGCCGCTCCACCTCTCCGTTGCGGGACTTAACCTCTCGCTGACCGAACTGCTCGTCAACAAGTACGTTGCAAGCGAACCGATGGCCAGACATTCATTCATTCATTCACGATAATACCGATCACTAACTGCGAGTGTGTGGCTGCTTGCGCCAGGGGTGCCTCGACGGCCATTTTTGACAATGAGGGCGTATCTCCCAGCGCACTGGCCACCAAGTTGAACGTACGCGCTCTCTCTGTGCGTGCGTGCGTGCGTGCGTGCTGTCTGCGGGCCAGCGCGCATTGTCGGACTGGGACTGACGGGGGCGGCTCGTGTTAATTATTTATCATTAATGACCCCCTTCCCGAACGGCAGCTGCAATCGTTCATCAAATTCTTCGAGAGCAAGTGCCCCAACGCCATGCTCTGCCAAGCGGTGAAGGAATGCAACTTCGAGCTGGTTCGCAAGCTGGTCCAAGATGGCTACGACCTCAGCGAGAAGGACCAGGTGACACCCCCATCACCCCCATTTCTCTTCAGCGCGCATGCACGCACGCGCCACCGCACACGCACACGCAGCACACGCACACGCACGACACTGACATAACAATCGCACTTTATTTTTTTGTATAGAACTGGAAAACGCCGCTGCACTGGGCTGCAGAGAAGATGAGCCCCGACACGGTACGAGCTATCATTCCCGCGCGGCTCGGACGTTGAGGCGTGACATTGCCCGGCCCACTCCTTTCAGGTGCGCCTGCTCCTGGACTACGGGGCGGACATAGGCGCGAAGAACAAGGACGGCCAGACTCCGCCCCACTATGCGGCTTACATGGGTACCCACCTACCATGCGCGCGCCTTCGCTCGCCCTACGCGGCTGTTTGGAGGTGTCTCACATGAGGCGCATTGCTTCTTTCATTTCCAGGGTCGCTTCCGGTCATGCAGGTGATGATCGAGAAAACCGGCGATCACTCCCTGGTGCACTGGACCAACAAGCACATGGAGACGGTCTTTGCCTACGCCTGCCACTGGGGCCATGTTGGTACGGCGAAGAGAGTGTGTGCCATGCGTGAGTGCGGGTGGTGATGAACCAACCGCCTTCCGCTGCAGAGCTGGCCAAGTACATGCTCGGGATTGGGGCTGACCCAACGTCGGTCGACTCCTGGCTCAACACGCCCGTGTTCCACGCGGCTCTCTCTGGTGAGTGAGGCCCACGCCTGCCCTCTTCTCTTTTTTTTTGTCGTCGTCGTCGTCACCCCTCTTCTCACCCTTTGCCTTGGGTGAACGGTGCTGCGCGCAGGCTGCGTGGAGCTGATGGAGACTCTGCTGGCCGACGAGCGGACCCACCCGCTGGTGGCCACTGCCAACTGCGATGGGGATACGCCCTACGGCTACACCAAGGAGAACGGCAACAGTGCCATGCTGGCCCTCTTCCACGAGCGCTGCCCCCAGCACTGCCCCGCGCCTTCATCAGAAGAGACCGAAGCCATCACCACCAGCCTCGACCACGGCCTCCTGCTCGACGCTTGATGTGTCACAACAGTTGTGTTGTAGTTTTTGAAAGAATTGTATTTCTGTTGATTGGTATTTTACAATCTCAAGCCTATGCCTCCCCCCCCTCACTGCCTCGTCGATGATGAAGATCATCATTCGCGCCTCACACTTTCCTCTCTCCATCCAACGCGCACAAAAAAAAAAATAAGGAAGACCGCACACGCACACACGGGCTCTCTCTAGCTCTTGGAACCGCGCGACGAGGCGAGAACCGATGGCGCCGCGGTGAGCTGGCGGCTGAGTTCCTCCGCGCGGATGGCTGCCGCGTAGCGCATCAGCTGCAGACACATCACCACCGGACTCGGCACCTGGGCGAGCGCACAAACAAAATACCAACAACATGTAAGCGTTGTGTGCGGCGGCGGCGGCATGATGATTGATTTGTTGTGGTGGTTGATTGTTTTACCTCGCCTTCCATGATCCACTCCCCGCTGCCGTACTTGGAGGCCAAGAAGTGGCGCGTCCACTTCCACGTCAACAGCGGGTTGCTGGTCTGGAACTCCTTCTCCGCCGGCAGCCAGAAATACCTAAGCGGTGGGGGGGCAGCCATTGCCCTGTCCATCAGCACCTTACACGACACACACGACACACGACACACACGACACACACGACACGCACACGAGTATTTGAAAAAGCGTGGAGTACCGAATGACGGGGTCTTCGGAGAGGTAGTCGCCGCGGTACCACGAGAGCCAGACGCCGTTCCATCGGCCGGTCCCGAGGGAGGACCCGCAGTCGTCCTCGCTGGCGCCCTTGGCGCGGAGCGGCTGCAGCACCTCGCCGTCCCAGGCGTAGGCCAGCCGGCGGCCGTTGAGTGGCTCCGCCCGCTCCAGCGTGCCGTTGGCAAAGTAGGACCACTCCTCCTCGTACGACGACTTGATCACTCCTCCTTTATACACGTTCTTGCCTACGTACTGCAACAGCTCGCTCTGGTGTGTGTCATGTGCGTCGGTGTGTGTCGTGTCGTGAGCGAGTGGCGCGAGTGAAGCACATGAATGGGGGCGGGGTTGGGGGTGGAACGTACTCGGAACTGGGCGTTCAAGTGGGTCGAGTAGTTGGGCATGCAGAGTCCGTCGAGGGCCAACGCCCATGCGGCCATGGTCTCCTTGCTGGCGGCTTCGATTTCGATCTCCTCGTCCTCCACGGTCTGCAAGCCGTTGAGAATAGAGTGAGAAGGCCCTTGTGTGTCGTGTGTGTGGTGTGTGTGTGTGTCGTGTGTGTGTGTGTCGTGTGTGTGTGTGTGTTGTGTGTCCTTTGTGTTTGGCCCGACAACAATAACCCAGGGAAGTTCGGCAGTGCGTACCAGCACGCAGAAGCTCTGCGGTTTGATCTTCGTGGCGGTCTTATTCACATAGGACGGAGATATGGTCTTGGTATTGCGCAAGTCGTGCACCTTCACGGGCTTGTCGTCTTTGCACTGTGCAGCGAGAAAGGCGATTCGCGTTATTGGTTTGTCTCCGGGTCCACACGACGCACACACGACACACACGACACGCGCACACACACACGCACACACGCACAGTCGAGGAATGCGGGACTGACCTTGGATCTGTTCTTCGGGAAGACGAGCAGGTTGGACCGCTGCAGCACGAGTGTTCGGTTCTTTGCCCCGGCGCTGCCTATTCGGCACTTCATCGGCTCCATCATGTACTCCACCTATATGAAATGCGCCGTTGATAGGCCCGCGTTCATTATTACTTGCGTGCCCTGTAGACGCGCTGTTGCGGGTGCATGCGCGGGAGCGGGAGCGGTACCTGAACGTCGGTGCCCGAAGGGAATTCGAACGGGTTGGGCCGAGGCGACGGAGTGGGGAGGGGGTTGTCGCCAAACTGGGCCGCCACGAGCGTCGCGTCGATGGACGAATCCGACATCGTGGACTTGAGCGGCAAGTGCACCGACGAGTTGTCCCGCGGGGCCTCTCCCGTTTCATGAAACTGCACACGCACGCGAGGATCAAGAGCGGGTCTCAGGCTGAGCGCACACGACGCACACGACGCACACGACACAACGATCAAGACGAAAGTCGCGCGTACGTTTTGCACAGCGTAGAAGGCCTGGTAGAAGTGGGGCAGGCGCTTGGAGCTGAGGGTGTTGACCCGGTTCTTGATTTTGAGCAGCTTCTTGAGCAGGATGTTTACGGCCACGTGGATGGGGTTCTGCACGGACTTGTCGACCTTGGAGGCGCTCAGGTCCCGCCCCGACGCGCTGCGCTGACTGCGATGGCCCAGCTTGAGACCATCGAGAATCACGAGTGTGCCGTTGACGTATCGCGTGATGTCCACCACTCGCAGCTCGCCTCTATAATCATCGACCAAGAAGATGAGTGTTTTTCGTGTGTGTGTGTGTTCCAAGCATGGACGTACGCGATGGCAAAGGGAGTGGACACGACAACTGCCCATCGAGTGACGGTCTTCATGAGATTCTCCACGCACGCGAGGATGAACTTTCGCAGCCGGGCGTTGTACTCGACGGTCGCCGCGTCCAGCATGCACTCCTCCTCGACCTCCGCGACCTCCTCGTCCGAATCCAGCTGGCCGTCGTTGTCCTGCTCCTCCTCCGTCTTGCTGTCCTTGTTGTCCTCCTCCTCGCTCTCCTCCCGCTCCCGATTCCCGCAGCCCACCCGCCGACGACCACTGCCGCCGCCGCGCTTTCGCTGGTCCTCACTACTGGACACGCCGTTCTCACGCACCTTGAGCGACATACGCCGCGACTTGGCGCCGCTGCCGCTGCCGCCGCCGTTCATATTCGACGAGTGGTCACGTGGCGTGGTGTAGCTCGTCGTCGAGTCTTCGTCGTCGTCGTCGTCGTCGATGGGGCTGGACGTGGTCCGCGATTCCCGCCCGGGCGTGATGCCCCCGCTGCTGGTGAGAAAGCTCGAGTCGTCGTCCTCCCCGCCGCCGTTCGACTCTTCGTCGTGCCTTCGCTCCTTTCGCGCGCCGCCGCCGGCGTCAGCTCCCTTGGAGATCCGTACGCTGGTCGGTCGGCTGCTCCTCCGGTCGCTCGTCGGCGAGTCCTTCGCCTGGTGCTGGTCGTCACCCCCGTCCTTGGCTCGCTCGCCGCGAGGCCGTTCGCGCTTGTCCCGGCCGCTGTCCGGCCGGCTCTTGGTGGTCGACGCCGCCGAGGCGCCTCGCTTGCTGTCAGCTGATCCCTCGTCCCCCGCCGGTTCCGCCTCCTCCCGTCGCGAGCTGCGATTCCCTCCCGGAGACGCGGGGCCTTCGATGGCAACAGCTTAGGCTCAGTCAGCACTCACAGACACACACCGTGAACGACACACACGGCACACACGATACAGCGAGGGTGCACGTACGATCATCGTCATCCTTTCGTTCCCTCTTCGTGACCCGCAGTGTTGTTATTGCTCCCGATTGTGTCGTGGCGCGTCTTCTCGCGGGCCGCGTTGGTGAGGCCTCGCCCAACGCCTTCTTACGGTCTGCAACCCACCCGAGTAAGCGTGGGAAGGGATTATAGCGACGGTAAGAAGGGGGGGGGAGGGAGAGAGATTTGGGGACAAACCTGCTTTGTCTTCCTGGCAGAGCTTGTTGAGGTCGCGATTAGATTTGGACTGCTTGCTTCCTCCCGATTTGCTGTCCTTGGCTGAGGCATCTTTTTCCACATTGGTGCGGATGCTCCCCGTGCTCAGCGTCTTCTTCAAATCTTGCGAGTTCCGTTCGCGCCGATTTTTACCCGCATTAGATTGGACCTCCTCATCGTTCGCCTCCTCATCTCGCTCGTGTCGCGACGTGCTCTCCCTCGCGCTGTGGCTCCCCTCCTTACTCAGCTTCACATTGGGGCTGCTCATCCTCTGGCCTCCCCCTCCGCCCGTCGGGCTTCGCGGGTCGGCCGTGTAGGAGCGCTTGCGGACATCCAGTCGCGCGCTCTGGCTGCGGTCGCGCCTTTCGGTCGGCTGGCGCCGCCGGACCGGCTCCGTCTTGCCCCCCGCTGCAGCCGCGACGCCCACCGCCCCGGCCGGGCTGGCGTCCATGCTCCGCCGTCGTGCTCCGCTCCCAACCTCGCCCTCCTCTACACTCTCCTTGTTGCTGTTGCTGCCACTGCTTCTTGTTTCCTTCTTCCCTCCGGCGGCCGCCTTGCTCGCAGCTCCTGGTGCCTTCCCGGCTGGCTGAGATTGGGCGGCAGGCCGGAGAGGAAAGCCGATCACCAGATCGTCGTCGCTGTCATCGTCTTCTTCCTCCTCCAAGGGGGTCGGTGTCTCTCTCGTCGGATGGGGGCTCTTGGACTTGGTGGCCGGGCTATGCTGGAGTTGAGGGGCGAGTGACGACGATGATCGCGTGCTCTTCTTCAGCGGGTTCTCGGAAGATGATGGAGCCGCAGGAGCCGCTCTGTTGTGGTGCCCATCATCGCCGCCCACGGTGATCTTGGCCCCCTTTGCTCGGGGCTCGCGGCTATCGGAAGAAGCTCGAGAACTAGGCTTAGAAGAACCGGTAGGCCGCTTGGACGTTTCGGTTACTGCCGGGGGTGATGTTGATAGCGCTGAAGTGGAAGATGGAGAGAGTGGGGCAGATGGTGTGGTGGAGGAGGACGATCTGGGGGACGATGTTGACTTGAGCTTAGTCGACGTTGAGTGCTGCCTTTTCGTCGAGCCATTCTTATCTTGACCTCCGCTTTCCTCTGCTGCCATGTCCAGTTCCTTCTTCAAGTTCACGCTCTTCCTCAACATCGCTTTGGGTTTCTCCTTCACGTCTTGTTCCATGTTTTGTTATCCAGGCTCCAGCAAACCTTCTATGATCTTTCGCTCACTCACAACCAGCAGGTGAGCAAAGGGGCCTGTAACGAAGATCAAACTACGAACCAAAGATATTCTAGATTTTGAGTACCGACCATTCGTCAGTGCTTTCTCTTTAGGAAACGCGCCCAAAAAAGGAAGTACCCGTTGCTATCAACAGCATTTGCGAAAATAGTTTCAAAAAACAATTCAGAACATTTCGAACACGCCAAGAAAAAGCAGGGCCAAGGCGAACAGGACGCTGCCACAAGAGAATCGGACGAGGGGGATGATGACGACGGCGATGATGAAAGACGTAGTTTATTGTTGTGCACGTGTATGTACTTGATTGCTGTGTGGGTCTATACAAACTGGACAGGGTAGCGAGAGGAGTGCTGAAGGAGGGTGATCAAACTATAAACAAACAATAACAGTGTGGATGATGGAGTGGGAGAATACTAAACACTATAGACAAGACGACCTG